GTTGTGCCCCCGGCCCCCTCCCCGTCCTTGACCCCCCGTGTTCGCCCGCCGTGCTCGCGCCGCCGCCGCCGCCTCTTCGCTCTTCCTGGCGCGCTCCCTGCCCCTCTCGGCTTTCGCCTCGGCCTCTGCCTTGTCTGCGCGTTCCTTCGCGTCAACCTTTGCCAAGAATTCTTCCGAGGTGATGTTGCCTCCGTCGGGCAGGCCCAAAGAGCCCCGCGAGGTCGCCAGTTTCTTGGCGCGCTTCCTCTGACTCAGGAGACCGCCGAGCATCACTGTGCCTACCTTGAGTCCGGTCATGGTATGCCCTACCGCCTTCAACTGCCTCAGGCCCCTCTCTCCGATGTGCTCTTCCAGCTGCTCGTGGGTCATGGCGATGGGGACATCCTCTAGGGGTGNGGGACAAGGAGGGTGCCAGGTGGAGAACGGGCAAAGCCGCCCCTTGTGCTGCAGCCGCTCCTTGACCACGGCCAGGTGAGGCCCCGCTTCCAGCCCCTGTTCGGCCGCGTCCCCCCCCCGCCGCCCCCCGCCCCCTCCNGGGTCATGGCGATGGGGACATCCTCTAGGGGTGGGCGCCCGGTCGGTCCCTCTTTCCTCTTCGCCGTGCCCTCAAGCCGGGTCAGCGCTCGATCCATGCCCACAGGCCACAGCCCCGCCCCGGCGAAGGACGCTTTGTTCCGCTCCGGTGTAAAGCTCCTTTGCCAAGCCGCAGCGATCACGCCGGGCACGTCACGCTTCAGCGGTAACAACCCGCCGTTTGCGTGGTAGACTAGTAGTCTTGCAGCACGTTAGTCACCTCCTTCTTGAAGGTTCCGAAAGCGACGACGTCCAACGGCTGGGTGATGTGCGACGTGTGCGAGGGCAGCTGGAAGAGGATGATGTTGAGTTCCATGGCCAATTTGATGACCTCGCACCTCACGTGTGAGTCAAGCTCATTAAGCACGAGGATGTGCGGCTTTCCGCCGAGCAAGCCTCGGTCGTCAAGCTGCTTGTGGAAGTCCTTGAGGTACTTGATGAACACGTCGCCCTGCATGAATGAAGAGTCCGTGCACGTGTAACTCGCATCCTCCGGGCCGTTCCTCTTGGCGAACAAGTCAGGCTGGAGTCGCGTCCTGTCAAGACAATGGTTGGCGCTCACGTGATACCATTGGTGCTGATGGTGGTGACCACTGTGGTGTTCTCTCGCGAGTTGGACCGCATCGACTCAACCACCTTCTGCCCTGCCTCCGCGAAGGCCTTCATCGTCTTCGTGCCTTGCGGTGTGGTACCTAATTACACCCGCGAGAGAGGGAGCCAAATCGCGTAGGTGGAGGTCAAGGGGGGTGACCAGCTACGGCAGATATATGCGAAGGTGTACACACACACAAACACAATGCAATTGGATAGTCTACCGCGCTCCTAGTAGGATAGACTGCGCTTCACCGAAGGGGCGGGGCGGTCATGTATTTTTCGTGAAGCAAGCTGCCACCTACTTTGCCTACTTTCGTCGGCGGTAGTTGGACTGGACTAGAAGCAGGAAGAGCCACAGCAAGGTGCGCCTATGCTATGCTCGGTACTCGTCCTAGACTCGCCTGCTGTAGATATTATTTACACACATACATGAACGCTGTCCTGTTGAGACTACCCGCAAGCTACGATTTCTGCAGAGTAGACTTGCGGAACAATCGGCCAAAAAGACCATGCGACACAGCCCTTGCTCTATGGTACATTTGTGTAGTTAGCAGTCTGAACTACTGCTGTACTCCACTCTAGACCACTCTAGACCATAGCCAGCGTCGACTTCGGCAACATGGAACAGGTGCGAGGGCGCACAGCACAGGTAGGTGAGATAGAGCACAGCAGTACATACGTACACCAGAAGAACGCCCGGTATCTTTGAAAATTCGGCCGCACATCAGAACTCCGCGAGATATTGACACGCCATCTTCGCGGTCTTTGCACACGAGCTCGCACACTGCAGCTTCTACTGNCTAGACCACTCTAGACCATAGCCAGCGTCGACTTCGGCAACATGGAACAGGTGCGAGGGCGCACAGCACAGGTAGGTGAGATAGAGCACAGCAGTACATACGTACACCAGAAGAACGCCCGGTATCTTTGAAAATTCGGCCGCACATCAGAACTCCGCGAGATATTGACACGCCATCTTCGCGGTCTTTGCACACGAGCTCGCACACTGCAGCTTCTACTGATACCACACTAGTGTAGACTAGTCTAGTCAACTAGTCAACTAGTCAACAAGTCACCTGTATCGTCCGTGTTGTGCACGTGGTCGGCCTCCGGCTTGTGCTCGTCGAGGAGAGCTGCCCACTTCTTGTAGAACTCGACGATGCGAGGCTCCTTGTCCTCGGTGATTCTGTTTGCCTCGTTGATGCGAGTCGTGCGCTCCGACACCCGTGGGTGCCTCTTGAGGAAGCCAGCTAGCCAGTCCTTCCCCGGGCCCTTGTCTGGATCCCAGGGGATCGGGCGATCGTCGCTGCACAGCTGTCTAACGGTTTCCAGCAGGTGCAGCCGACCCACAGCCAAGCAGTGACGAGCACAGCACAGCAGAACATCTTCAAGAGAATTTTCCTCTTCTTCGCTCAGGACAGTCGCGGGACCAACTTTTGCTNGTAGACTAGTCTAGTCAACTAGTCAACTAGTCAACAAGTCACCTGTATCGTCCGTGTTGTGCACGTGGTCGGCCTCCGGCTTGTGCTCGTCGAGGAGAGCTGCCCACTTCTTGTAGAACTCGACGATGCGAGGCTCCTTGTCCTCGGTGATTCTGTTTGCCTCGTTGATGCGAGTCGTGCGCTCCGACACCCGTGGGTGCCTCTTGAGGAAGCCAGCTAGCCAGTCCTTCCCCGGGCCCTTGTCTGGATCCCAGGGGATCGGGCGATCGTCGCTGCACAGCTGTCTAACGGTTTCCAGCAGGTGCAGCCGACCCACAGCCAAGCAGTGACGAGCACAGCACAGCAGAACATCTTCAAGAGAATTTTCCTCTTCTTCGCTCAGGACAGTCGCGGGACCAACTTTTGCTTTCATGGTCACCGCGCCATCGAGGCGGCTCTTAATTAATCGACCACCCATCCAGCCCAAAGAGCCTAGAGGCCTCTCGGATTTTCTTCATGCCACCTCTAACTGCTTCACATGCCTTCCGAGCTTGCTCTGGGTCCACCTGGCGGCGGCCCATGCTTATTAGCAAAACCAGCAAAAGGATGGCCCGCACCGGCGGTGGGTGGTGCTGGTGCTGCTGTATCTCGTCGCTGGATGCTCTGATTGCGACGCTGAAGTGCTCAAACAAAAGTTCTTGTCTCTCCGCGAATTCCAAGAAAAAGTTCTAGGGGCTCCGTGACTGTATCAATGAGATACCCCTATTTGAAAAAATGTGGTTGTTACCGTACTACCCGGGTGGTTGTTAATACCCGCCGCTACTCTTATGTCTTTTCCTATTCAACTCGGCCAGCCAACCATATTATTTTGCTTGAGTTGCGTAGTTTGTGGAAAGAGAGTCCCCCCACAAGGTTCGTCGGTCTTGTTCCGCCTTTGAATCTTTTGAAAATGAGCTCCCCAAGTTTCGCCTGTATTGCCGACGACAGACTGGTTCCCGTAGCTTTTGTGGCTCGGAAGGAACGTGTTGCTCGTGCACCGTACTTCGGCCTATACAATCAATCGGGGTGGCCTCGACAAAGCTCTGGGCACATCTAAATGAACCCAATTTACTCCACTGCACAACCTCTTCCCGACGCGGCAAGAAGGGAAGCTTCTGAGGGAAGCAGGAAGAAACCATTAGAAAAAATGGACATCCGCACAAGGTGGAGCAGAGGAGACTGACGGAGAGGATGAGAACGGGGATTGCGGCTCCCAGCCATCCTGACCCTACGACAACAAATATGATCAAGTATTTAGTGCCCTGAACGCGGTGTGTACACAAGGTAACCGCAGGCCAACAGGCGAGCTTCATCCTCTGCCACACTTAACAATCAGATGGCCGGGGACAAGGTTGCGGTCGTCCGCTGTGCAGAGGCCAGGAAAAAAGAAAGGAATTCAACCATGGCTGACAAGATGAGGATCTCTCCAAAGCTCGTCACAACTTTTATTCTTGGTTTCTGTCGTCATATCCTGCTGCAGATAGATTCATCCACATTGCGCCTTAAGAAACGGGCTGTGCCCTCGTTGAAATAATCACTCGGCAAAACCTCTGGGTATACGTTTGGCTCGTCTAACCCAGTGATGAGTGATTGAGCGACGATGAACTCAACGATGAAGACAATTCTTCGAAAGGAGGAATATAATTGAGAGGCGAAAGGAAGGGAATGGTGTGGAAGAGAACTAGGACTTCAACTTATCAGGTCTTCCGTGCGTCCATCGACAACGACAAAATGTAGGAAAGACAAACTTCCAGCGGCCTTGGAGAGATCCAGAACGAATCGCAGGTACGCATGCTAAAGCTAGTGGCTAGCCCAACGCGGGCAAACAATCTTCGGGTAGGGAGTTAACCCATTTCAAGGTAAAGATGCTAGCACAGGAGGAGCAGACAACGCAGAAGCAATGCTACGTGGTGGTGTTGGGTCTTCTTCTTGCGCTCGAATCCGTAAGCTGTGCACGGTCGTCCAACATCCAAGCTACTCGACGCCCCCCTTCTCGGTGGAACCCGCAGACTAGAAAGAGTGCTCGCATTATTTGGTCTGCCCGCAATAAGTCTGACGTCCTCAGATTTTCGACTGCCTCGCGCGGTCGATACTATCTGGAGTAGTATACACGGAGGCTGACGCTTGTGGTGCAATCTCCTCTGCCCTGGAGAACCTGCGGACTAGAACGCGTGCTGGTGTTTCTTGTTCCGTTGCAAGACTTCCCTCTAGACTATCCCATTGCCCGGTTAGCGCGTTCGATTATCTTCTACTTTGTTGAAGGAGTACACCCATAAGCAATGACCAGGCCGTATCCGCACGAGGACCGGCATGAACAGCAGCAGCGGCAGCAGCAGCAGCAGCAGCAGCAGCAGCAGCAACAACAACCCGGGCGACGGATTGTCACGATGATGGTACCGGCTTACCGGGGTTCAGCTCTCGACGACCACCTGCAACGTGAGCGCCAGTATCGCCTACTGACAGCGAAAATGGGGGTGCGGCTTTCTTAAACGAAGGGTAACGTCCATGCCCCCCATCTTTCTTGAAACCTAATCGTCGGAAACTATGCTTCATCGTGAGTAGTCGGGCTTTCTTTGGGGCCTGTTTTTTCTTGTCGTGCCTTATTGTGACTATGGAGAGCTCTGGAATAACAGAGCTCAGGGCCCAAGCAAACACAAAGACCCTGTAACCACGACAACATGATGCAAGGGAGGGGTGGGACCACGAGAGGTGCCCCTGTACGCCAGGTTTCAACTTGCTCACAAAGGCATTTCGTAGTAAATTGAATCTGCGGTCAACCACGATCTCTCGAGAAATCGGGAAAACGCGTCATGGTAACCATTCTCTCTCACAGATGACCTTACCAACTGACTACGTTCCTTCCAAAGATGAACAAGCAGAAGTAAAACTTCAACCATTGTTCGTTATATTCTCGCCTCGGCGCTTTCTGGGCTTTCAAGCAACGGAGGCCGAGTGCAGGCGACTCCTCCACGCGTTAACTTCATCCAGAGCGCTCGCGTGGACCTGAAGCATGTTTGACATCCGTTCATGACGTATTTGAACTCTGTCTTCGCTGACGATACCTCAGTCTCGCTCTCTGGCTCTTTTTCCGTCTGTATGCATCTCTACCAGTCTTCAAGAAAAGTTACGCGTTCGACTCTGACCTACATCAACAAATATCTGTTGCGCAACTCGTTGGTGCCGAAGCACGTGTGAGGGGGAACGGGACAGAGAGGCGAAAAGACCGGGGGATAGAAAGGACAGCGACATGAGAGAAGAAGCTGAGATACAGAACGATTGAATAGAGACGAGCGGTGGAGCTGTAGAGCGGTATGCTTCAAACAAGGGTACTGTCATCCCTCACGACCCATTCCACGACACATTATGCCCTACGTGGCTCTGTTAAGAATGCAATGCACATCTCAGCCGTCATTGAAATGGTATTCAACGCATGCAATGCTTGTTGTATGTTTCGGTACGCTCATGGTGACATCACCAGAAGAGCCTGGAACAGCGTTTTCGTAGAGGTGAGAACATATCCTTCACATTGCATCACATGGGCGAGAAAAGAAACAAGAATGTTCAACAACCCTGCATGCTCGTTACGGTCCAACTGAGGGTCCTTGTCGATCTCACAACTTCTACACACTACATCTGCCGTTACCACTAAAAACCAACTTCCCTAGCCGCCGGCATCTTCCCTTGTGGGAGAGGACTAGTGCCACCCAACCCTAAACCAACCTGCGTCCTTCCATTGTGTTTGGACGAAACTATTCTACGCCAAACACACCACGTGGGTGGAGAAAAAAAAACACGTCAGCGAAGATACAAGGTAGAGTTCCGCTGACGTCTTGGTTCAAGTCGCTGGACATCTCACCCTCATCAGCATGTACACAACAATCTAAGAAGCGAGGAAACAGTACGACGAGGTGCCCATAACATTTCTCGAGGGCGATCTAGAACATTGCAAGGTTGCGGGTTAGAGCGATTCTCCTGTGATACCCGAAATAGGGACTCTTCAGTGGAACTAGACAAAACCGCAGGTCATGTAAACTACATACCGCAAGCGATGGCAATCGATGGGATGAACAAGCGTAAATCGCATATCGTACCTAGTAGTGACAACGCTTGCTCGTGTGCAAGCTTGCCAGCAGGGCGGCTGGACATTCCGCGCGGTAATTTTTGGGTCAGTACCGTAGGATAGTCTTTTGTGCCACCCCTAGTCGACGGTTTTCGTGGCGATATCGATGCAAGGTCGTCGTGTAGGTGGAAACTACGAGTATAGGAAAATATAATAAAAATAGAGTAACATCTACACTGCACCTGAAAGTCCGTCCGGCCAGCATCGTCTGGCGTACATAGAGACACAAATACCAGTCGTGCAGCCTTCTTCGCCCATACGCTGGCTCCCTGTAACGTCAGCCTCGCCCTCTGCGTTGGGTTCGGAAGGTCTCGCAGTTAGTGATCTCCGTTCATGACTGCATCCATTTTTGTTGTTCTCATACATTGCCTTTGTTGTCCGACAACAGAGTCGTACACATCTTCTGTCGTCAGGATTTACTTGGAAATATGATATCTGAAAGTTCTTCCGCGTGATCAACAATGGTCCAGCGATCAAGCTCGAAAGCAAACCTCCATGGACCTCTAAGTTTTACTTCACCGGGGGCTTCTGAGAGTAGGCTTTGCTGTACAGACGCAGGACGCCGCTCGCGAGGACCCCGAAGTACCTCGATGGCCGCTCGGTCGGTGCGTTGAAGCGGCCTGAGGAGAACGTCACCTGACAAGGACAATAGTGAATAAGTTGCGGGTAAACGATGTGGTTGAAACATTCAATAGCCATGCCGACGAGCGGTACCAACCACGTTTCCGTCCACCAAAATTACAAAAGCAACGGAACGGGTAAAATTTTCACCAAGATTGACACATGCCGGTTTTACCGGGGGTACCGATTGTCGAGGATACCGCCAGCAGTGACAGGGGCACGGGTCAGGACACGTGGATGTGGTTGGGCCCAGCTCTGTTTTAGGCGGCAGGGTCTCTTGCTCTACCCCGCCCTCCCTTCAGTCGGGCGAAAAGATGGTACGTCGATTTCTGGCGGGACGTTCGACTACGGCTACCTAGATATCAGAGCCCAAAGGCCGCTGTGCCTGCTGTCAAGCACCACGTACATGAATGTACCCGCATTTCGAGGCAATGTCGCTGAAGGGCCCGATTCTCGCGCGAATCGTCACTCCTTCGGGCAAGTGGTCCGGAGTTGCCACCTGAGCAACAGCGAAGACCGAGTTTGGCAGGGCGGCGATGGGCGGGCACGCATCTGGTGATGGTACCACGGCAATGAAGAGCGCACCCATTTTCCACTTAACAACATGTCGACTGAAATTCGGACTGCCTGCGAAGAAAAACAATACCGCCTTTCGTTGACAACGCTATTTGTAGCATAGATGTACCGACAGACCTAGGGTATACACGTGAAAGCAACCCTAACATCGGTAAGCGGTTCCCTACGCTGAGTTACGAGTGCCATGGGGCATGGCGAGGGTCTCACTTGCAAAGTGTCCACCGGGAAGTATTGGGAGCTGAGCGGGAGAGAAAAGTGCCGGCTGGTCCCTCTACATAGGTCCGTGTTGAGATGGGCATGCGCTTGACCAACCAAAACCGGTGGCGCCGCTGCCGCCGCCGCCGCCGCCGCCGCCGCCGCCGCCGCTGCAACTTTTTCCGCTGCCGCCGCTGCCGCCGCCGCTCTTCCTCGCTTTCCTTGCGTTGGCGATGCCTTTTCCTTGGTCTCGTGCGGGATACTCTGCTCAGGGAACGTACAGGGGGTTGTGCACGCCGAGCACCGGCAAGTCAGCGGAAAACACGGCGGAGCACGAGGGAAAGGAAGAAAGGAGCGGGGAAGGGCGAGAGCAGCGCGAGTGAAACGTGTTGCAATTGTGGCCGTTTCTGTTTCTCTGTTGCTGTAGTCTCTCGGGCACGTGAGCTCGGAGCACGCTCAGAGTTGCTCATTCATTCGTTCATTTGTCACCACAGCTGCAAACTAGAAGGGAGGCAGGGGCGGTTGGTTCAAGAGAGAATCCCCCAATGGCGTGACCTCTTGACTCCGACCAAGCACATGCCGGATAAAAGGCTGAGGGGTACTGGCATATGAGACAAGCTGAAAGAGGGGGGATGAAAGAGAAAGGAGGCAAGGGTACCACGATCATCCTTAGAATATCCTGGTACAGAAGAACGTTTTCGGTTGTCTATATATGCAGTCGGTAGCACGGTAGATAGTTTATGTTCACAGGGTATCAGTACGTGCTCATCCTCACGGCAGCAGCGATTTCATCAAGGGAGACTCTTGCAGCTGAGCTCTCGCCTGCCTTACCTTCAGCAACCTCATGTTTTGGTTTTGGAAAGTTGGAAGGGAATGTTTAGTTACAGGTATACTCATACTCATCACCTTTGAATATTTCACTCAACCTTGAGTATGGCCCTTGAGTAAGTATTCCAAAAATACTCAAGAGGTTGAGTAAGTATTTCAAAGCTACTCATGCGTACTCAGATACTCGAGCATCCTTCAGTAAGTATTAAAAAAATACTCAACTTCGACTAAAGGATTTGAGGCAGTATTTCAAATCAAACTCATCCGTACTCAAGCGATTCGGAAAGTACGTCATATCGTACTCACGCTTACTCAACCATGCCCGGCCTACCGGAGTCCTCCGAGACATGTTCAGTCGTTCTCAAGTTACCCATGTATACTCACTCGGCGTACCCAAGGAACACTCGACGTTCGCGGGTATTTTACACGTAGCATACAGAGATCTCGTTCTTGGGTGGCACAAAAAAAAACAACCAACTATGATATGGGGCTTGCCGTAGTTTGCCAGAGAGAAGAGAACGGAGTCCTCGAGTGCCCCTTCCTACTGGTAACCGTCTGGTGTTTTGAAATTCTTGGCGGCGGACACTGTTTCCGCCCTCACCGTGCTGCAAGCAACAGCTGGTTCTCTGACGCACACAGTCGTGGGGTCCCCCCTGGCCGTGGAATCTGGATCACCTCAGCATCTGTTGCTGTTGCTTCTGCTGCCTTCGAGGGTGCTGCATCGACGGGTGCAGCCGCTGCTGCATCAGCGGGTGCCGCTGCCTTTGTAGCAACTGCGCTACTCATGAACCTTGACACTTCCTCTACCCGATGATTACAAGTATTAATGTTTGATAAAGTATTACTAAACGCGCACGCAGAGTATGTTGAGTAAGTATTACTCATACAGCGAGTACGACTGAGTAGTTTTGAAATACTTACCGAAACGCTTGAGTACGGATGAGTATTTTCGAAGTACTTCCTCAAAAGCCTTAGTCGAGGTTGAGTATTTTTGAAATACTTCCTGAAATATATACTCAAGGTTGAGTAATATACTCGAGTGTCTGAGGACGCATGAGTAGTTTTGAACTTTACTTAACCTCCTGAGTATCCATGAGTGTTTTCGAATCACATACTTAACAATCCGAGTACGGGTGAGTATAGTTTGGAATACTTACTCGATGGCTTTAGTAAAGGTTGAGTATTTTTGAAATACAGTCGTGGACCCGGTTTAGCGGTTCCCATTTCGCGGGATGCCTTGAATAGCGGTAAAAAAATCTCGTGACACGGCTGCACCCCGTTTAGCGGTTATAACCGTTAAACCGGCCGTGCCCTCTATGGCGGTTACTGAACTAATTTTCAGCCACCGATAGCGGATATCGGTGCATATTTTGCAGAGACAATGCGACATTGGTCAGCCCCTTAGCGTGGTCGATGCTCGTCATAAAAGCACACAGCAACACACACACACCATGCAGCGCGCGGGTGGAGGACTGTAGCTTTCAGATGCGGCACTGAGTCCACGCGGCGCGCACGATTGTGAAGGTGGCTGTGGTGGCCGCATGCACGGAATGTATGGAGAGGTGGAGAATCTTGATGGCATCGAGATGTACCGCATTTGCCAATAGTGTGCAACCAGGAAGGTCCAGAGTTACCCTCGCGTCTCAAATTCACCCAACCAAGCGCAAAGAGGCGGAAACATCAGGCGCGGAAAAAACCACTCGCGCTGCAGCTACACGACAGACCCGCACGCGACTCAACTTTGGCCAGAAGCTTGAGGTCTTAAATATTCTTGACCAGAAGGTAGTGCACTCAGAAATTACGCGCAGTAAGAAATCGAAGCTTTGCAGAAGGATTGAATAACAAGTTCTGAGAAGTTCTCTAGGACGTACATGGAGGGGCCTAACCCCTCCGACGACGAGTTAGAGCTAGAGTTAGAGCTAGAGCTAGAGCGAGATTGCACCGCAGAAGTTGACGGTACAAATGGCAAGGGGGTCATGGCGCATCGGCCATACTCGGAGCTATCGGCGGATTTTGGCCAGCTTGAAGAGTGCGCGAAGTTGTGTGGCGTCGGCGAGGCAGCGAACTATCTTCGCAAGGCAAAAATGGCGTTCCTCGCAGCGAATATGATCGATGTTGGGTTAGGCATGGTCGATAGACGCGACAATTTGTACAAATGAGCTGCTCAAGCACGTGGTTGGTTGCCATTGCGTTGTCACGAACTTGCCCCAGGTTCGTTAGAGACGGGAACGATTGTCCAGTCTTGATGCAGGGCATGCAGTACATCAGGGAAAACAAGCTTTGCGCTTTCGAAAATTAAAAGCACAAATGTGCTTGCTGTGTTGTCATCCCTAGGGACGATACTTCTTAATCTGCACCCTCGCATGACAGCTGCAATAGACACATCCAGGCCCCATCAAGATGAACTTTCGACGCTGTTCCTGTTGGGCAAGAATGGGCTTTTTCCCGGTTTCGCGGTTCATAACCGCTAAGAAGGACGTTTTGAGGCGATGCCCTGAATAGCGGTTATAAAACTTCGTGACACTGTGGACCGCTAAACCGGGCCCACGACTGTACTTACTCAAGGATATACTCAAGGATGAGTAGAACACTCAAGGGGGGGCAGAAAAGGGGTTGTGACGCTGGCTCTTTTTCCCATGCTATAATCCCATACAAAGCAAGAAAACAACCTTTCCGCCAGAGATAGGTGTCGCATTCTATTGTCATCAGTAGAGGACACCATAAAGAGGCGTCCTGCGTGCTGGCACATTCAGGTTTGCTACTGGAGCTGAAATATCGAAGGTCGCAGCAGCCTCTGAAAACAGTCCGAAATCTGCGCCGGAACCAAGCGGCATCCAACATTTGTCACAGCCGTGCCCACTGCCACGGACCGTAAGCCCCTGGACGGATGTGTCAGCAGTAGCTAGTGGCATCAACTACTGCTGTAAACCCGCAGCTCAGGAGATTGGGGTCAGTGTAAATTTTTATCTTGATTTCAAAGGGGGTGTGTGGAGGTAGACGTGTGAAATGCATGTTTTGAGCAGCTTCTACTGCCGCCCTGTGCGAAAATCAACAATTTCTGCTTTCGGTGCCTTCTTACTGGTCTGGTTTGTCTGTTGTGCAATTCTGGTGCTCTTGCGTTTGTCTTCACTCTTAGTCAACATCAAAATTCGTCTTCTGCCCCCCTTAAGTATCAGAGTACGCATGAGCAGTTTTGAAATACTTACTCAACCTCATGTATTGATGAGTATATTTGAAATGCTTACTCAACCTCTTGAGTATGGTTGAGTATCCCTGAAGCACTGCTGTACCCCCGGAAAAACACTCATATTCGGTTTTACCCCCATAGACTAAAAGATGACTAATGATTTTGTCGGTCGTGCGGGACGATTTCTGCGGGCCTTGCATGCACCACCGCCACACACCACACACTGCTGCTGCTGCACATCATCACTCGCGACTAAATAAGCGATACTTAGTACTCGAATACTAACATTCCCTTGGAAAGTTGCCAACTTCGAGGCAACCTCAAGATTGTCTCACCTGACGCACAACGGTAAAGACTGCTGTAACCCAGGGCTTGGTTCCAGGAACGAATATCTTTCCAGGGCGACACGACAAGACGAGACGCCGACGGAGGTCATGGAGGACGTTAGGAAAAAACACAGAGTAGCTGAACGAGCGGGGGCGCCCGGAATCATGGTAGATGCCGTGCGGGAAGCAAGAGGGGGTGGGAGACACGACGTGAAGCACGTGGCTTGAGTCTAAGCTAAAACCATGTACAATTGCCAGTTATCCGCAGCGGCTAGCCCTACCCTGCTGTCCTTGACGGCGGAGTTTGCAAGAAAGGCCAAGCCCCGAGTTTTGACAACATGAGCCAACATGCCTGAAACTAAAGCCTTACCAGCAACAACAGAAACAGCACCACGACCACCAAAACCAGCACTTGACCCACTTTGCTGTTGAACTCCACGCTGGCTTGCTCGGTTGCCGATCCCCCGATCATCGACCGGGGGGTGAGAGGCCGCGCCCCACCCTTGTTCATCGCAGCAGGAATCCCAGCCGCAACCGCAGCCGCGGTCGCCTCTACCGTATCGGCGGTGGCAGTAGTAGCGACAGACAAAGCTGGTGTGTCGAAGCGAAAGAGCTGCACCGGCGGGGCGGAGCTCTCGATCCCTACAGGGGCCATGTCCTGGATGACGGTGACCACGACCTGGTACTGGTACTGGTGCAAACACAGGTGCCATGTAGCGTCTGAAGCGGAAGAGGTCTTGCCGTTGTTTCCAGTGCTGAGTGCTTGAAACTTGTGGGTAAACGACGGTGGGAGAGGGGCCAAAGCGAGCACTCAAGACGACGCTCAGACAAGCCGTGGAGATCGCCAGCCACACAAGGAAGTCACCGAAAGAAGACGAAGAGTACTGACAATGCCCCAGGGGGAGTTTCTCCCTACCGCCTCAAGTCCCACTTTCGTCACAGGTGTGTTTCACGTCACGTAGACTATAGTTTCACCGCTTTTAGGCATGTCGCCCAAATTGCACCGGATTCCCGGACGTTCGCGTGAAAAGTTCACCTCACTATCGCCCCTGTTTCTCTCGGACTTCATTCGCATTGTGATTGGTTAGTTGCATTGCCAATGTTTACTTACATGGCGGACAGTTCTTGAGGTGATTGTAAGGCCGTCGACACCCACGACCTCCAACGTCCAAGCTCTGAAATGTGACTGGGGTGGGCGACAGGAATGGGTTTCAAGGACTGGCCTATGTTGGAATCCTATCCAGCGTGCGTGGTCGGCATACGGTGTATGTAGTACCTCGAAATCAGTATTAAGAGATAGAAAAGAAGCGTGATTGTCAAGGCCACGTTATGGTCTCATCGAGTGTCGTCGGAAAGCAGTGCAAGCACACCAAACGGACGTACATGATATCCATCCCATGTACGCCACGTAACGCTATTGTTTCGATCTGACATCTCGACGAACGAAACGCTGCACGTGGTATGTGGAATGCGGGTATGAAAAAACATTGTCAACGTGGGCCCAGGCATGGTAAAGGCATGCGATAGCGGCACTCTCACGTGTTTGAGCGCGTCCTGCTTGCGTCTCGCCCGTGTTCCCCTCCACCTAGCTTGAACGAACGTTATGCCGTCAAGCACCGTGCGTTGTTGTGGGTCATACTATTGAGCGCCGGGGAGAAGCACAAAACACAGCACGAGCAGAGAGTAGTGAGGAGACCCAACACTGGAAAACAGGACGTTATCGATACCGTGGAAAGAAGGGACAAATGCGCACCCATTCCTCACCGCATGTGAATACTCCGAGGGTGTTGGTGTTTTCTGTGCGATAGGCGCCCTGTGGAGTCAGTGAGCATGGGATCTACCCGAGGAGCAATAGCAGCGTCACAAGAGGAAAAGGTCTTTCGGACAAAAATCCAAACCAGCACCAGCACACCTGACTCGGCTCAGCGAAGGAAGGCCTCGTATTACTGCAAACCTACCTCCTCGTCATCGTCGAAGTCCCTCGAGTAACCACCCTTCCAGTTTCGGAGACGCGATTGATCACTCGTATCACAGGCCGCCGCCATCACCGCCGCTGGTTTGTTGAGTTTCAGGCATTCAACAAACAAGGGGAATGGGGAGGGACACGATTCGTTGAGTTTTTCACGCCCCAAGCCAACCCGACCCGTCTACCCGTCGCGTTTTGCCAGGAATCTGACTGAGAATCGTATTTGTTGGATCTGGTTTGGTCTCTTGGAGATTTGTTGCAACCCTCGTACCCACAGGCCCTCAATAACACATACAGACCACGGTCGGAGGTGTTGTAAATTATGAAGCAGGGCAATCTAGCTTCGCACGTTCGTTGCTCGAAATTCTTCTTCCTGAGGGACAACTTGGCCGACACCACAGCACAGGCATCATCTGAGGTCGAGGGTTATGTCGTCCAGGGGTTTCGTCCGAACCTTGGAATACTATATTCTTGGAGGTTTGCCGGAGGGGTGGGGTACAAAAGTGTTGGCTCGTGATACCTTGTGTGCCCCCTCATCACGTTTCACTTTGACTGACAGCGAAGCGACAGGCCCGGTGCAAGTGAAGGTTTATACTATCCCGAGTGCATGACAGTCTTTATGTGTTAAAATCTAACATCAGGCACAGTTCGGACCACGCGTAAACGCCCACGCTTCCTCGTTATCCATCGGGTAGAGCTACAACTCGCCCTTTTCTTCCATTTGCAACAGGTGCTCCTTCGTGCAGTGTCCGCACACCCACGCTCGAGGCTTATGTCCAGCTTCGGAACCGTTGGCATCGCTGGCATCATCAATACTTCCGCCCAAGACACCACTATCGTCGTCGTCGAAGGCCGTTCCCTGAGGTTTTTTCCCGAGAACGGCCCGAAGATCGTTCCCAATACCCGTTCCGCAGTCGGCGGGAGAGCGCGTTCCGCCTTCGGCCTCGAGGACGGCGTTGTGAAGGCAGCCAATGTGAGCGACGATGTCGCAGAAGATGCACGGTACGCGAGTTATCCCCGAAGAGACCACTCGTAGGCAGAAGTCGCACCTAAACATGCGCTCCCAGATGTGAGGCTTGTGCCGTTAGTGTGCACGGCGACCCGCAGTCGTGTTCAACAGGGACCGAATTTAGTCAGGGTGAGCCGTGAAACATAACGGACTGGGACAGCCACTGGTGTGGAAGTGGGGTCGGGGAGAACAGCTTCTGGTTATGAAGCCACGAACGCCATGTTATGACGGTGGCGGCAACAATCGGCGCGAGTACTGTGAGTAGATGCAAAGGTCGTCACCAATTCCCTCCCAGAGAAACGCGCCAAAAATGCCGACCAGAGGCGTACAGCGGAGGCCACCAAAACTAAACTTGCCATTTACATGCCGTACGGCAGTATTTAGTCTTGAGACGCATTCAACCCGAAATAGAGCGACGACATTATCCTGTCCCCGCTCACCTTCCAGGGGCGAAACGGGTGGATTTTCTCTTCCCTTGGCTTTGTAGGCTCGCTGGCCTTCATCATCATTCTCATCCGCCGAAGGTATATCGGGTTCGCCACGGAAATGCCCCTCTGCGGTTTGTCAGGCTTCAAAGAGATCTGCACGTGCACAACACAGCAGTGGGTACATCGCCAAGCTCTGTCAACGTCGGATCAGACACCCCATTGGCATGACCCCGTCCACAACAACACTGCTGACGGGTAGATCGTGTTTTGGCGAGACAACTTGCGCATTCTTGAGGACTGCTCGACCACATAACCCCCGAATTGGCTACAAGTGTTTTCGGGGGGCCGGCATATGAGGCTGGGAGCCACGCACTTCGCGTTTGAGCTGCCACTGCTTGCTCCCGAGTGAGCGGGAGTTGAGGACATTCACGCAAGCCTTTCATTATATTCATGTTTCGCATGTTGCCCCGTCGGTTTTACTCTTCACAAGGGACTCATCCCTCGTCCCTTCACCTTTTCTTTGCACACGCAACAAGTAGCGGCAGTTTTTCCGTCCAGATGCTGCGCCTATACACTGTCGACGCTTCTGACATATGTTGAAAGCGGGGCGAGGGAAAATTCCCATGGGTACTAGTTTACGGAAGCTTCAAACTCACGTTTTTGGTTCTTCTGTCCGTGTACAGGCTCGACCATGGCCTTCTGTTGTGCCCGTGTACCCTAATATGCTGTCGGGCGTAGAACGCTTGCATCATTGCTGGAATTGTTTCAGCCGGAAAGCACGCGGACGTGCCGGCAAATAGATGGTAGAGGGATAGGAGTTGCCTTCGAGAAATGGCACGGAAATCGTCGGGGGAGAACGAGGAAGGACCGCCACCTTTCGCCTTTCTCCTTCCATAAAACAATTGTTTAATCGATTGTGTGTACAGGCCAACGTGGAACGGAGCGCGGGAGGCGGGGTGGGTCAGACAGTAGCTAACGTTGATGGAAGGAGCCTCACCAGAAGGATTGGATCTGAGCGAGCGGGATAAAACCCGAGCAAGTTCACTGCGGCTGGGCTGGGGCTGTTCAGTAGGTAGAACACCAGGCCTGGACACAAGGCTCAGCGGGTCGACCCTCCTGCGATACACAGTTTGTGGGAAAATTCCATAAACTGCGTGCATTGCACACCCACACAGTCAAAGTATGGCATGCGCGCTTCGCGGTTAGAGCGCGGTTTTGGCCCCCGTCAGAAAAGGGCAAGATCATTGCATCGTACTTTTGTGTACGCACGCTACACTAACTACCAGCAGTAGAGGCCCTACAATCTACAGAGCGTTCGGAGCGGTGTTAGGGTTACGCAACCACAATATTCAGTTTGGCTTGGGGAGCCTGATACGTCCAGGTCTTCGAAGGGGTTGAGAGGATACTTTCTTCAGGTCTTCTTGTATTGCACAGGTACTACCGAGGAAACATTTTTGTGTTTTGGCTCAGCTTCCGATTCTCGGCAACAAGCTCAAGGTTTTTCTCTTTCTGTGTAGACTAAGCTTTAAAACTTTCTCCATTTGCTTTCATTCCGGGCCGAGTTTCAGTTTTTGAAGCAAATTTCGTGCTCTGATGCCTGGCGTGTAGATTGCTGTGTTCATTGTTTCTTATCAGCCTACAGCAATAGTCTATGGCCGTGGAACTGGAATGTCCTCTGCCTTTCAAATTCAGACGAGGAGAGACCAGCGGTCAGAGTGACTAGTGTACAGAGAGAGGCAGGTCAGGTCAGAATATTTGTAGCTCACTGCAGTAGACAATGTGCCACTTGGAGAAATAGACTTGCCGTTTCTACAGTGAATAACAACCCCTGTCTGGGAACGGAATACGCGCATTGTTCTCAAGCGGCTTGTTCTGCATGTGTGTCCCCACTATTGGCTCTGGAATTGCATTTGTTTACGAGTTCGATCAAGTTCGTCCAACGCTACAGTGCCAGAAAACGTCGTACCTTCTCATCGGGGTGGTCGCCGGCCTTGCACGACGTGGTCTAGCCTTCAAAGACACCCCAGCAGTCCCAGCGCCAGCTTCTGTTGTCAATTCAGGCGGTGCCATCGTGTCATCGTCCGTATCTGTGTTACCCTCCACATGGTAGTAGTCCTTGGCGAGAGCTGGTCCAGAAGCAGATGTTGCCCTGGGCCTGTGAAAGGTGAAGCCCCTCGCCTTTTGTGCTGGTACTGTCGACAGCCTTCCGTCAACCATTAACGAGCCCAGACGGTTTCCCAGACTTCCACGTGTTACAGTGCGCACTGCTCTGCGTGCTGCACTTCGGCCATGTATCCCCAGAGGTGCGCGGAGCCGAAGAGGTGCATCTTCCGAGCCGCCGCGTGTCGTTATGGGCACAACTTTTGAAGGCTGCTTGATTTTCATGAACGCGCCATGTCAAAGCACCTCAGACCTGGTTAGACAGCGCGCGCTCTCGTGAAGTATAGGGGAGGTGTTGCGTTAATGACGTTTTAACCGCTATGTGGGCAAAGAGCCCTCGGTGGTGCCAAAGGGCCGTAGAATTAAAGAGTGGTTCAACACGGGACTGTCGACCAGCGGAACTGTATCGGACAGAGCTATTCGTCCAATCAGAATTAAGCATTCACAGCCACCGTTCAGACGAGTTGCATTGCGACGTCGCGAGTTGCGGGGATCCCAAGGGAATCTTGCATTCTTATCTCCTTCTCTCTGAGTTGTAGCATACATGCACGGGTTACGCAGGGTTTCTACACATTTTTCCCTATGCAATGCCAACACTGTGTTGCGTGTTACCATGTATGTCGACCGCGTCGAATGGTTGTGCGGCTTAGATGGACGGCATAGTCTGGAGTGCCCCAACATAATATCGTGTTGTACAAATGAAAAACAGACCACTGTTTATGGCAAAAAAATCTTGATCTTCCTCTCTTTCGACAAATAATGTTGAATTTTTCGACCTTTTGGGCAGTCTGCCTCCAATAAGAGTGCGAATCAGCTGTTCGACCTTGGAGAACATTCACAGCTTTGGCTGAGATGTCTACAGGTCGCCTACATGTTTCGCCAGGGTTCACGTTTGATTTTTTTCCAGCAGAGCAAGATGTTGAAGATTCGGCCGAAAGGCCACCTCGGAGCAAATCTTGGGCCAAGATCTGTCCAAAAGCTGGTGTTAGAAAAATCTTGCGTGAAAATTGCGCACCTTCAATAAATCAAACGTGGACCCTGGCGAAACATGTAGGCGATCTGTAGACATCTCAGCCAAAGCTGTGACTGTTCTCAAAGGTCGCACAGCTGATTCGCACTCGTTCGGGAGGCAGACTGCCCAAAAGGTCGAAAAATTCAACATTTGTCGAAAGAAAGGAAGATCAAGATTTTTTTGCCATCAACAGTAGTGAGTGGTCTCAGCAAACCTTCATGCGTTTGAGAGAGCATGTACCTGGTATCAACTTCGAAATGTGTAATTGTAGTTGAACCCGGAGTCGTAGGAGGACGAGGGCTGGGCTGTGGGGGATTGAGGGAGGTTTTTCATGCGCGGCACACGAAACATCTCACGAAGTGTCCTCCGCCAGTAGACTAGTCTATTGCGATCAAACCTTGAAACAAATCTCCGATTGTGTTCGGAGCAGCCGGCATTCGAATCCCTGCCGTGGTACCACATAGTCAACATGGCTCTCCTTCGATAAGACTTGAGGCAAGGCGGGAAGGCTGTATCGAGTTTCGTGCAAAGCCGCTCACCCATATTGACCTCGCAGCTGACACCACCTTCTGCGTATCAACTACCAGGTAGGTGTATGTAGTGTGTACTTGGATACAACGCGCGTGTACCTTGTACCAGCTACGATCCACTATAATCGATTTCTACTCGTTGCTGCTGCTACTGCCCTTCATGAAGGATGCTCTACAACATGGCTGAGACATGCTGCAAACGGTCTCGACAACACTCTTCGACACACACCGTTCGAAGAAAAACAGGGAAGTCCTACCTGCATTGACTGCAACTCTACTACTGCTGTGCTGACCGCCGCCTGTTCATTTGTCTCGATGATACGTTACACACAAGAAGACGAAACTCCATTCATTGCTGTAAATCAGTATCACTCCTAACCTACCATCCTATCTATGTATCCCCCTCCCCTTCAACGCGTTCCACCTACACGAAGAACAACATAAAACTAGCTGTCGATTTCAAAATGAGCGGGAAACAGCCACACAAATCTACACAACTCCAATTTTTTTTTTATTCTTAATAACACACAACAAATCTATCTCTGTCTATAGAAATACGTCTAAGATAGATTGGCAATGAATCCATAGCGTGAGCGAAAGGCTACCTGTATGTCTACGGTTTCCCAGACAGCATACAACGATATCTCCCCTGTGGGTAACAAGGCTCAACAAGGTAGTTTGGTAGCCATATTGTGCATCTATCTGTGTGTTATGTTGGGAAGTTGTAGACGGAAGATTTATTAGGGGAACTCGGTTTGTCGGGTGTTCTATTATGGCACCCTTATGTGGTTGCGGAGCAAGCGCGTCTCGGGGTGTGCATATTTTCGTCATCAACTTATTTATTGTATGTGATGTATGGAGGCCTGTGCGGCGTGGGAGAACATATTTACCTTGTTGTGTAATGGCATGTCGTTCAATGTGAGAAGGGCACGGGAGAACATTGTCTCATCATTGCCTCCTGACGTGGCCGCCGATAGAGGCGTGTGGTTGGGGTTTCATCACTGACATGTGTGTGTGTGTTCAATGCAGTGGGTATGGTCGCCTCTCTCGCCCGTGTGTCGGCAGAAGGTATAGCTACCTTTCCCATTTATTTGTAGGCAGCGCGGACCATAAGTAAAGACAGAGTGTATCATTTCATGCATCTACATCATTTGTATNGAAACCGTTCCAATCTCTCTGTACCCACTACCTTCGTATGTCCGTATACTGATCCAACACTCGACGCGGTCGATTCCCGTGGTCGCAGGCTAAACTTACCCTAAAACGGTACACTCAAATAAAATTGCCCCGAGGGGTCCGCAAGACAATAGAAATCAACGACATATATTCTGGAGTCCTCCACTCCCTCTGCGCGCTATGCGAGGTAACAACTGAGACTCGGAGTCACCATCACGGGCCGGAGAGAATGAGGTACACCCCCTTGGTTCAATCTTGGTACTTCACAACGCAAGCAGAGACAAGGCCATCTGGCACAGAAAAAGAGAGAAAAAGAGAAAAAGAGAACAACAGCAGTATGTGGAAAGAGAGCAACGAGAGGTTGTTCTAGCTTATAGTCTAAGCAGTTTTGTTTGACGGTGTGTGTATGGGAAGGGGGAGTACTCCCTGTGTTCGTGTTGTTCCCAGATGTTGTCGCATCAAGTGGCAGCATGTGTCATGGACAGGTAGACGTGGAAGGGCGGCGACAGGTGAACGGCAGCAGCAGCATGTTGTGCATGGTGGCATGTTGGGCTTGTAAAAAGACGCAGTCCATCTTCGACCACACACGAAGGAGTTTGTTCGTACCTGTCGGAGTTTTGGAGGGCCCAAGTCAGTCTCAAGCAGCAGTAGGAAGCAGCGAACAGGCGCAGTACTTCTCTACAGCTTTAGAGTCCGTCCTCCTCAAATCCTAACGGAGATGATTACGTATCGCACAACGGCTGGATCGGAATTGCCGGCTAGCTCCGAAAACCAGGAGAGGTGGGGGAGTAGCTCAGACGAATGGCTGCGTGTGCGCTCCTTCATGTGCATACTTGGCTGACTCTTTGAAGGGTAGAATTCTGGTTCGGCGGATTTGGCGGCATTTCGGCATTTCCAGTATTTGCCATTGTCACCTGGATGCATGTTAATTTTGGCGAGGAAGTCGGCCACAAGTTTCTCACTCTACTTGCAAGGGACACGTTTCATGTTCAGTGTTCCCCCTTGCGGTTTCAACTTTTGACATAAAAAACATTTTTTTTTGTGTTGTGCGTGTACATGTACAACATTCCTACAGCTGTACATACTGTTAGTCTATATTCAAGTCGCCTAAAACAGCAGCGAAGCACTTTCTCAAAACAGCAAGTTGTCAAACGACACTGCGCCATGTTCCCTGTGAAGGTCACATTCCACATATATTTAAGAATGTATCCGCCTATACAGATGCTTTTGTTCTTAGCTCCAACTGGCATACACAAACTCAAAATAAGCCTAGTCTCCAGTTGCGTTCAATCCACTTGCTGAAAAGACTTCCACATCTCTTTCGACTGAGGTTATATCTCGAACGGGTAGTCTTTCTGTGAGGTTATGTTTACTTTCTAAAAATAAAGCGGCTGTGCATGCCAAATCTGCAGCTAACACCCATGGCATATCAACAAGACACCCGCAAGCCCTGGTTTGTATACGAAAGTACGAATACCCCAAAATTGTTCGTTGCACGACATGCCACTTCCAGGACCTCCGAGGTTTTGACTTTCTTTCAGCGGCGTAGAGTGATAGTGTCATTGCTGGTGTCGGTCTGTACTTCCCTCCATCAGTTTTGTTTTTGTACTGTAGTTGTTTTGGCAGTTGTAGTCGTTGCCGTGTCTATTGGCGGATGCAGTCGTTGCCGTGCTTACATTATTTCCTCATTCCCTTGAACGGTCGCGGAAAACGCCGAGACCGACAGCCTCCAACATGCCATCACGCCGATTGCGCCAAACACCGACACACCCATGAGGGGAAGAAACGGGAGAGTCTCCTCCCGAAACACCAAGGGGTGCACAACCTCCCCCAGAACAAAAATAACACCAGCCCCGGCAACATAGGCCTTGTCCCAACCCGTCCACAAACGAGGGGCTGGTGCCCACTGTCCCCCTGTTGAAAGACGTCCCACCCCAGCACCAGCTCGTTGCTCTGGAGCTTGACCAACAAGTCCTGTCACGCTACCTCTCGCTTTCCTGTACGGTTCCCCAGGAGCCGAGGAGGGAGACCGTTCCGAGGAATGGTCGGCAAGAATCGCCTCGGAAACACGGGAGTGCGTAGGCGCCATCCCCTCATCCTTGATTTTTTCGGCACGACGGTGCTCCAATAGAGAAGTCGCCAGCATCAGGTGCATGATCAAGAGCACGACCTGTTTGTTTCGCCAGGCGATGGTAATTGCGTAACGGAATATTGTGAATGTTCGAATAAGCATTTGGCTGCCAACTCAGGCCAGGGCGTCAAGACTGGGCCGACGACTTTTGTTGCGAGATAAAGTGTACTTCCACTGGTACTTAGGGCTCTCGCCTATTTTGCCCCTTCTCGAACCCGGAAAAACCAC